CTTCGTTTTGTTCGTTGGACTGTCCTCGACCTTGGCCATGATTAATTCAACCCGACGATCTGAAGGTTAATCCTCTTGGTAATTAATTCCAGGATTATTTAAGAATTCATATGTCAAAACGAAAAATTCTTAATCATTGTCAGACAGTATATACAATTCCCACCTGTTGTTCTACGGTCCAATTCAGTTCAGAGTATCGAGATGGTTAGCAAATTGAGCCCTCTGCACACATCGACGAGACGAGGACGCAGATTTCCCGTATTGACCCCAAGTAACGTCTAACACATAGGTACCAACGTGCGCGCGCGCACACACACACGTTCACCGCGTGTTAGGTATGCCACGGTACCTGGGTAGTGGTAACTTGGTAACGGTTGTCAGCGCAACGAAGCCTTCTCACGAGGTGAGACCAGAAAAAAAATCACACTACTGGTCGAACCACCTGCCCGATCGTCGAATAATAACCGTCCTCTGAGCGTTACACGCGCGGTACCATCGGAATAAAAATGCGAATGCAGGCCAGAAAATCGAGGTAAAAGCACGAATGAAGCATAATTCGTCGTTTTCCCCCACCCCTGGTGTAATTATCGTCGTGTGAATGGCACGATTTTCTAATGATCGACTTCTATGGTTGAATGTTCCGCACTGTTGTGCCCTTGTTGGCCCAAATTCGGGGGGACTACTTTCCGAGCCTCTTAAAATGCAGACGGCGCACTGTCCCTTTCGAATTGTTCCAAAGCGACTAACACCATTTTGGCACGTACCGAGGATAGAAAGTGGTCGTAACGAACTGTTCCCATTTCGTATGGTACCCTACACCTTCCCCTGGAACAGTTCGACTTTTGTACCGCTTCGATCGGCTCTCGCCACCGCGGAACTATCACTTTCTGCAATTCGTACGGCGCGAGATGATAGGCCCGAGTCATTCGAGTCGAACCGAGAGATGCCCCCCCGATTGGTTTTGCACGATTGCTCGCGTTCAAAGCCGTATCTTTGACGTCCAAGTGAAAGCGTCTGCATCGCGGTTCGTTTTGTATCACCTCGAGGGGGAAGAGGACGGGGAAGCTTCTGGTGTGGCTTACTTTCTATACCGTTTGGTTAACAGTATGACTCGACGTTGAAAATAATATCGGTCAGACCGCGATACCACGAGGAATTCGAAAGACGGACGTCACGATCCTCAGAGGACCTCTGAAAGAATGGCTTGTACTGGTCTCTGGTGGATGTTAGGTGAAGTCTGGTCGAACAATAATTTCTCTTCGACCACGAATCAGTTACAAAAAACCGTCGTTGGTCCCGTTCGTGGTCTGACTCCGTGATGAAGGATAAAATAGAAGAGAAATACAAACAGAACGAAGCCGATGACGACAACGATGTCGAAGCGTACACATCGGTTTGGTCGGCGAGGCCAAGCCAATCGGGTCACCCAGATCCAATAACGAAGAGGAGTCGAACACTGGAGCTTTCTCCGGAGAGTTCGCGTGTGCACACGCGCGCAGAATCCTATCGGAGACTAGTGTTCACACGCACCTGTGCACAAGGCCCTTCTCGTGCACTGACACAGCCGGCCAATGAACGCGGAAGAATTTTCGAGGCACTCGAGAGACTACTCTATTCCGTATGCATCGGGAGAATCGATTTATACACCCTCAAGATTCTTTTTTATAGTCTGGATCAATTTTCCTTTGTTTTGATTGAAAATGTGTAATCTACATATATACACTACCGGCCAAAAGTATGGGACAAAGTCTGACAATACAAAAAAGGGAAACATATTACAATAAATCCTCGATGAGTGTTCGAAGGCTCTCTGAGATTCTGAAGTCAATGATATTTGTTGCAGTTGTATGTGGACATTAGTTTATGAACTATTTAATGGTCAGTGCCACCCTTCCAACACTCATCGATGATTTATTGTATTCTACAATAATTTTATGAAAGTAATGTGCTATACATAACTTCAATTATATCGCAACAGAATAAGTTATTGTTCCATCAATCATGAACTCTGGTCCCATACTTTTGGTCCGTATGTCTCAATTTTCATAGCATTCGATTCGAGATCGCGCAGCGATTCTCAAATTTAACTGTAATGCACTTGCAACGCAGTTTTTGGAATCCCGTCTCGTAAATACTTGTCCCCGCTGCTTGAACCTCGGTTTACGAGCGTCCAGATATCCGTGGAATCTAACCACCGACATGTTTTCGCGAAAACAACGCGTAAAATTCGCTTGCAATAACGGAGAGCCGTGTCCGCCGCGTATGCAGCGTCACCCCCTTGTTGCATCGGAGCTTCAGTTTCAATTTATCGCTACAGTGTTTCGTTTTATCCACACACGCATACATACACGAAATCCGTTTCGTCGTTTGGATTTATCCGCGGAAGCGCATTCCCGTGCCTGTATCCTCGTAAAATCCGCGGAGCTATTGGAAGAAGATAAACAAACGAGACAGCTCTACGTTTCTGCGAAAGCAATCAACGGGAAGAAGGAAACCGACGAAAGACACGTAGGCTGAGAGAAACTCCATCCTTCTATCAGTTTCTCACAGAGAGACCAATCAAAAGTTCCAGATACCATCAGATTTGAATTCTCAAATTTTCGAACTGTAAATTAACATCGGTGATTCGATCGATATACACCTGGGCAAAGCGTATTCCGTGGGAATCCAGGTAGAATTTTCTACAGATCACCAAGATTCGTTTGAGAATATTTGGTTCATGATCAAACAGTAGCAAATAACCGTCCAATTAGAGCTATTACCAGACTTCCTCCGAAGAGTATAACTGCGAACTATTCCGTCAGAACGAGCTGGGGGATCGTTTCGCGATAATTACGCTCGTCTTCGACCGACTCGTCGCTTTTTTGTCGCAATCGAAACTGCTTGAAACCGAAGACTCCGAGGAAACAGAACGGTGTCCAATGGAAAGTGACTTCCGCGTGTATTCACGCGTGTGCGAGCGGGCCCAGGCTCGTACATATTCGCGCCGCGAATAAAAGACCAACGAAAGGGAACGATTGTCGCTGTATCAACGTGAAACACTCCCACGTTCCCCTGGGGGCAACCTATAATTTATTCGTTAAATGTAACAAGCCACTGTAATTAATTTCGTCGAGTCTGATCGCGAGACGGATTGTACTTTCTCGTGTTGTCGCGACTGAAGAACGTGAAACATCTATAAAATAATTCTTGACGAGTGCTTTTTCTACAAAGTATAATATCACGATTTTCATTCTTCGTGTGTATTGTTAACAACACGTCGTTATTCCTAGTGGAAAAGAATGGACTTTCCATGGTGTCTGCGTGACACGAACGACAGAGAGCTATTTTAAAACGAATTTTCGTTTTTACTGCTCCAATGAACTGTCGCGCAGCTACCGCCGCGTAACGTCTCTCCCTGTTGCGTGCGCGTAATAACTCCCAACGAAACGAAAAACGGCAATGAATAACACGAAGAATTGATAATTGATAGTAACGGTATCGGGGGCTTCGACACTCGGATGACGTCTGGAAAAAAATCGGTGTGTTCATTCCGAAGAAATGAAAAATTCGATGCTTCTATCGAGATCCTCTACAAACCTACAGAGTTAAAAGAAGAATCAATATTTTCGAGGTATCAAAGTTCCCTTGTTAGTGCCTACATATTTCTATATAATTAATTCTATTGACTCAATGCGTCGCCAGATTCTCTGCATCCAATTTCTAAGCCCAAGTAATTTCACAGCGTGTCGAGAACTTGGCAACTTGATACGAGTGTATTCAAATTATCCGAGACCCCAAAGGGCATTTAATCCCCTGCATAGAAGCTGTCGAGGGGTGGCGAATCCGATAAATAATTGATTCCCCAGTTACCAGAAGCAGTTTGGAGCCGGCTGATTCTTAAGAAGGTCAGAGGAACGACGAAGAATAGAAGCAGCGATGGGGGAATTGGTAACTGGGTTACCGGTGTCTTCGTGAAGCAACTCTGATCAGCCTCTCGCTCTCTTCGTCTTTCTCACGGCCCCCTTTCCTCCTCCCAACCCCTCCGCCATATCTTTTTCTGTGCCTCCACTTCGTTTCTGCTCATCATCGTTCTCGCTTCTCTGTTTAGCATCGCGGTGGCCCGCTGCGATACGTAGAACGCCTCTGGACTGACTCTGTAACGGGATTTCGGAGCACGTAGGGACGACACACCATCGCGTTGCGTGTGCTCACCTTTCGAGAAACGCACGTGCGCGACCGTGTAAATCTCGCCAGACAACGGTGAGATAATGATAAGCTAGAGCCATCGATGGCCGATGATACGCACAGGTGTGGAGGGTTGATCGACTCTATACGTTGCTTCCTAATTTGGCCCCTTAATTAATCTGTCACGAAAGATAATGATGTTGGGGCCCTGTTCTCGGAACAGAAACTGTTTCCACAAACTCGTCATTTTCCATTCTGAACGTATCGTCTACGCTGGGTTACGCGAAGATTTGAAAGCTTGGGATGGAGTTAAGATGGATATTTAAATCACCAGAAAAATTCTATTGATGCAGACCTGATGTGGTCTGGGTCTAGACAGATTCTTGTATTTATTATTGATTTCTACGGAAGTATTCGAACAAAATAATACCTACAGATATTCTGTGTATATTACGATATTTACCTAGTAGACAACGCGTTGATGGAGCTCATCGTTCTCCTTTTTTCGATAATTCTCTTGGTGGATCACCGTTCAGAGATACTAAGAGTTAAAACGTAATAGAATCTCCGTGGCGTGGAGCCGAGATATTCTTGTACCGTTACCGAAGACCGCGGATATAATACAAGCAGATTTGAAAGGACGATTAATGTACTGCCCATTCTCCACGGGAAGAGTACCATTCCCCGTTCAAAAGTGGCGGGCGAGGAGCGTTCAGCTTCTGTTTAATTCAAATCGCCTTCATCAATGTAGGCTAATTACCCCACGGGCTCTTTTCACGACAACCAGCAATTTCTACCGACGAACAATATAATGTTTTTTTTTTCTGTTGCAGATGGCTGTCAGGAAGAGTGTCCAATTACTCCTCGTCATCCTTTCTTCGACGTCCGTCATCTCGCGCTCGAATGTGGCCCAAGCCACAGGTAACGATTGGATTGCATAACAAACAATAAAACACGAAGATCACGAACCCACGTACCTTTAGTGAATCGAGTTGTTTCGCTAAACGATACCTCGCGGGTACAAAAATAAACTCGCGTAATAACGCAGACGGTAACCTTTGACTTTTACCTTACCATAGGAAAAAAAAAACACGTTTCGCTTCGATTCTCCGGGCGGGATTGGCACAGATGAACTTTTTCCGTTCTCGTTGAACCCCCTGGCTAAAATCGACCCGAGGCGATTCAACTTCCGCGGGCAATCATAAAAGTTCCCCATTTATACGAACAGAAACGTGATTTTACGAAAACCCATTTTCGTCGACCGAAACTGCCAACTTTTCTGTCTGGACGATTAATTCGTCTCAGACATATGTAGGTCGAAAACGTGAAAGTGGTAATACCTCCGATAAACCTCCGTACCCAGGCAATAAACGTCACCAGTGATCCCTGGAAAGTCTTTCAGGATCATTAAGGCTGCTCCCGTTTCATCGATTCACAATGGAAAATTCCTATTTTTTTTAAATCACCGTAGATTTGTAGGAGGCCTCGATAGATGCATTATTCGATATTTCGTTCATTAGGCTGAAAGCACCCTTTAAATTAGGGCTGTATGACTTCGCAACAGGCAAAATCAAAAGGCTATCATTGGTGGTGTGGTGGTACGGAGTATCCAAGTGGGAGACGGGAGTAGAAGTTATGCAGCTCTGCCATAAATGTTAATATATGTTCTCATATTTCCTTGTATATCCTCAACACTACAGTAAATATGAAAAAAATATTACAATGAAGATTTAATGACTTCCCATGCTCTATACAATTGTTAATAATAAACTATATTTTAAACAATTTTGTGGTACAGTTTCATAAAGCATAAAAAGCTATTAAATTTTCATTCTAAAATTTGTTTGATATCTACTATTGATTTCAAGATAAACAGGAAACTATGAACTAATTAAACTTTAAGGGATGATTTCACCTCGCAGAATCGAATACCAGTAAAAACGAAAAATTTTCAAATGTTTCTATTGAAATCCTCTACAAATCTGTGAAATTTAAAAAGAATTGGAATCTTCGAACTACCCTTTTCAGTACTTTTAACGTTGATAGGTCGACGGTCTCGCGAAAAATTTTAGCGACTGCCCTCGAATTCAGACCGCGGATCGGCGCGGAAATATGTGTGTCAGCCGCAGGGGAATATCTGAAATTTCTGTCGCGCATTGGGAACACGCGGGTTCAGGGACGAGAGATGCGACCGAGACGCGGCGCGGCGCGACTGGAATTCGCGACTTTCGAAAGGAAGTGAGATGTAAGTAGAATTCGGTGTCAGTGTTGGCTCGTCGGATTCTGAAAAGTGTGCGTAAGCACACGACGTCTGTACACGTCTCTGTGTGTGTTGGTTCACGGCTATTGAATCGTGAAACTCCAATGACCCCGCGGATAATTTGCAAAATGACTGGCATTCAAAAGAGACACCACTGGGAACCATCGGCACGTGGGAATGCGATGTTTCTTCGTCGTGTTGACACACACGATTACGGTGTATTGCAAACAATTCGCGCGAACGAGCGCGAGTGCACGTTCGATGGAAACCCCGGAAACCACGCGTGTCGTACGAACCGAGGAGGACGCGGGTTTACGGGACTTTTCATTGACCCCCGACATTTTCTTCGATTTCCAAGGAAGAGGCCCGGCAAGTTTTATTGCTCATTCGGTTGGTTGGTCGTGTTTGCAAAATGATAATGATACATCCTTGTTACGTGCACGTTACAATGTTACCACTGGACTGCGGACGTTTATGCTAATTCGCTCTTTTATAGACGGATCCGTGAAAAAATCGAGATAAGTGGAGAACAATTTCCTCGGTTAAGAGTCGTGTTAAGTACCGAGTAATATAAGGACTTTATTGCATATTATTATAGCTTTTACTTTGTCGTGTTGGACCGGTTCTCGCGCACCATAAATGCGTAAACCGCGGAGTTTCGTTACATTATGATGCAAAGCGTATTCAATGAGTAAGTTTCTACTTTGTCTTTGAGAAGCTTCGTGTTTCTAGAGTCTATAAATGTTGGAACTATGTTCAGAGTACATCTGTTGGAAGTGGATCAATGAAGTCCTCCAGAGGTCCATGAATTTACGTTGATTCGTAGACCCGAGAGACGGAGTCCATTCCGTTGGAAATATCAGAAAAATTTTCTTTATCGCTGGTCCAAGTTCGTGAGATATTAATTAGACGGGTAGATCATAAAATTCGCAGGGGAGAGTAACTAATAACGTCGCGCTCGTATTTCACGATAACGTGTAAATTTAACGAGGTTCTGGATACGCGGTACGAAACTTTTAATGAACTCCGCCGAGTTCTCGATTCAACCCGGTTCTACGTGCAACGTGTCACTGCAAAAAAAAAAAGAAAAGAAAGAAACGTGATCCAATTCAGCGAAATTCCGGGTCGTTAATCAAACAACACGCACTAGTCTTGTTATTATATACTATATATTGGTGATAGCTAGTCGACTTACTTAACACACCTGGGAATCGATACGGCAGCGTTTGCAGACCACTCGACGTGAGGACACTTTCTCGACTGATAATTGAAACTACCGAGTACATTTTTCCGTGCAGGTACCCGTCTACAAAAATACGAACATTCCCACCAAGCCCAATGTTTATCAAACATTGTGACCCTCACGAATCGGTCGTTTGTCGACATAGTTATTAGGGGCAACGAGTCATGTTACTAAAAAAAACAGATCATAAAATTTGCCCTAAAAATGACCTGAGTCGTATCATTCATTCGACGCTAGAAAAACAAAGGAATCAAGGCTGACCCGAGAACGGTTTCACAGCCGGGTTGGTGATATTTTATGAAAAATTCCGAGTTTCCTGCTTACGGTTGAGCTACTTTCAAACATCTAAATACGTAGTATTTTATATTATACGGAGATAACGGATCAACCGACCTATTCCATTTAATTACCAGTGTTTTAATTTCTTGATTATAAATCGCGTGTAGGAAAATCCTTCGATTCAGTGATCCCGGAAGGATTTGTAATCCGAGCGTGTCGCCTCGAGGCGTCCGTGTAACTGGCGTCGTTATACGCGCCAAAGAGTAACCGGTGAAGTTTCGTGAAAATTGAAAAAAAAATTGAAGGAAAAATGTGTAGAACGGTGGAAGTACCATGTCAAGCACTACGGACGATTCACGGAGTAGGTCATTATATCGGTAGTACGCGTGCATATAAGGAAGCACGTGCAAAGCCTACATGCTTGCTCGCCTATGCTGTCGGTCACCTAACCAGAACCGATCACGCTAAATAGTTGCTATTACAGCCAGAAAAACCTAAATAACTCGCTTTAATACCACACGACGACGCGATCAGGGTTTTTCGTCTAAACGACGAAAGTTGAACGACAACCGATTCCCGCTAGAGGCAGACACGTATGGAATTCGGGACGAAGGCGTCCCCGATTCGCGCGTGGAACCTCCGAAATACCGAATGAATCGCCGAACTCGTTTCGTTTTCAACTCGTTTTAACGCGAACCGTTGTAAAGAGTCGCAACTAATTGCCACCTCGCTCGGAATAACGAAGAGTCTCGTCGTCGAAACGAACCGCTATCCCACGGAATAAAATTAAGCCCCCTCCCTTTATCTTGATGCTTTCGGGGATCATAGAGCAACGATTATTACACTGTCCACTCGCCATCGAATTGGCTGATCGTGAAACTTAAGGAATGCATGATTCTCGTTACAGGTAGAAGATTGTTCGGCGGTTACAGAATAGTCCCGAAAATCTGTCAGCCGACGATTCCGTTGCGCGTGAAGTCGAACGAACCAGCGATATGCATGTTCAACTACGAGTGCTCGAGGAGAAACGGTCAAGTGGTCGGCGCCTGTATGGACGGATTTCTGTTCGGCGCGTGCTGTCAACTCCCGTCGAAGAATTCCGGCCTAGTCGATCTTGACAAGGTCCCGAGCAACGATGAAATATTCAACGTGCACGAGATCGATCACGTGCCGGATATTCCGATCCTGTTAAATTCGGACGGTACGCCCCTCGGGATGACCGTGTCCCAGGATAACACGGTGAAAACCGAGACGCCCGGTAATAATCATTTGAACAACGATGGGACCGGGTATACAAAGATTTCCACTTTCAAAGTCCCGTCGACAACCACCAGACCATCGTCCAGCGTGTCATATGTCATGGACAGTGTTCAAAATGCGGAGAAACCGCAGATACCTATCCAACCGGATATAAGTCATCTGGAGGAGGACTTTCCAGCTCTGTTAGGCCAGCAGAATATCCTAGACGATCTCGCGCTGCCTGGATTGTTGAGTCATTCTGACTCGAACAACGACATACAGAATCATCAGGACGTTTCAGCCGTCAATCCGATCACCACTTTGCTCAGTCCCGATCAGATACTTCAGATCGCCGATCCCGTTGATCAGCTTCCTGCTCTGTTCTCCCAGGGACTGGGCCAGAGCAATCACAGTTCGGCGGAGACTGTACTGTTGAACGAGAACGGGACCATGTTGAACGAGACGTATAATCCTGATGATCTGTTCAAGCCTGGTGTCGACTCCAGCACCGAGAAGAAGAGACTCACCGAAATACCAACCACTCAGAGGCCAAAAGTAACCGAGAGCATGGCGTTTATGAGCACCAAGAAGAAGCCAACGTATGGTACCACTTATCAAGGCAGGCCTACGATTCATTGGGTCAAGTTTCCTGATCAGTCTGGATCCCTGAATGACGCAGCGTCTTCTGGCTCCGAACAAATGTTCAGCACCTCGTCGATGACCAAATCACCGTCAATCACGCAAATGTACAGTAACACGCAGCGATTGACAACGAGCTCTCCCGTTCTGGAGGACGTCACCTTCGAAAAGGTCAGCACAGTGGAAGAAAGAGTGTCCACGAAGAACGTTGAGGCTATTGGTTCCATTAATGAGAGGACTACTACTCCAATGACCACTCTGAGCGATGAGAAAGATGAGTTGATTAGGGTACCGACGATCACTTACGACACGCCATCCGGCAACAAGAAGGACGACACGGTGGATACAGAAGAAATGGCCATTAATCATATAATTTCTATCCTTAATGACACAAAACCAGGTTCTGGTACTACTATTCAGACACCGAATTCATCCATAAATAAGTGGGTCAGCATAGATGAGACATCGAAACCGTCTCTGGTCAGAATTTCCACGCCGAAGCCTGCTGTACCCCCACCAACCACTGCTCAGTCTTTCCCTTATATTTTCTACAAGCCAATGCAAACGTCGAACTACTACAACTATGAAACGGTTCCCACAGATACAACTTATTCTCCGTATCCAACGACCAATACACATCCCTCGAAACCATTGACTCAAGCCAGTACCAGCAGCTACGGTTATCAGACCAAAACGACTACAAATCCTCCAGCTCCCACGGTGATAGTTCTAGGACCTCTTGAAACGGAATTCACCGTCGAAACTACACAGAAGACCGTCACCAAGAAGCCCGAAATTGTCCGACCTACTGCGTCGATCGTTAGACCCACAACTGGATCTTTAAGGCCGAGTCTACTAACCACCAAGAAGCCCAGCGTATCCACCACGATAACTCACAACATCAGTACAGTGATTTCGAATGTGGCCACCAATAACGTAGTCTCGACGAGTTTCTTCAGCGTGAACGTGAAGGATGGAACCACTTCGAGACCGACACTCAGTAACAAGTACAGTACAGAACCTGTCCTCGCTGAGAATGAACAAGCCTCTGAGAAAGTGCCCACCAGAAGACCCACAATTTGGACCACCCTAGCACCCTGGTCGGACAAACCGAGTTTCTTCTTGAAACCGTCGACACCGTCGATCGTGTTCCCCGACGACAATTTAACGCCAGTGAACACCGTGATCGTCAAAGACACCAGCGTCTCGACAACAGTGGACATTAAAGGGACGACTGCGACACCTCCCTGCGAGGAAGAAACGCCAGCCCCTAACGACCTAATCAACTTCCCACCGGTTCGTAATCCAAATCTGAACATCTCAGCGCCCACCTCGCAGCAAGAGAAGCCCACCATCATCGATACGTTCGACAATATCGGTTACCCTGACCTGGAGATCCTGAACGAGAATGATATACCGATCTCAACGTTCGTCGAAGACGATGTCCTGAATAACAAACTCGACACATTCGTGAACAAGATCGTGGAGAGTCTGCAGGGCAATTTCCAGGTACATATATGATGAGACTTAAATATCAGCAGATCGGCGTAAGTAGATCAAGATTAATCTTCCTTTCGTTTATGTAGGATCTCAAAGATGTTGTCTACAATCGCACGAGTGTGACAACAGCCGCTCCTCTATCCACCGTAACGAAAAGACCGACGACCACCACGAAGAAACCCGTGCGAAGACCAGTGTCGACGACCAAACCATTGTCGTCGAGCACGACAAGAAGACCAGCGACCACGAAGAGACCTACAAGTCGTCCGACACCATCGAGGCCATCGACGGCGGAGAAACCAGGCATCCGTCCATCGAAACCGACCACGTTGAAACCGAAACCGACCACGGTGTCTAGCGTCACCACGAAGAAACCCCAGGTGACAACGAAACGGCCCAGACCGACCAGAAGACCCACCACAACGCTCGCTCCCACCACGGAGGCGGTAGTAGTCGAAGACGAAGAAGCTGGTCCATTCACCACGATCGAAACGACCACGGTTTCACAGCTACCATCCTCATCCGGTCTACGCTCACGTAAGTACCTAATGTTCTATACTTGATCTTCGAGGTCTCATTGTCTATGTTTGCTGCATAGAATGTGGGATAAGACCTCTAGCCAGAGAAGGGAAGATTGTCGGTGGTAAAGCAGCGTACTTTGGAAAATGGCCCTGGCAGGTCCTAATTCGCGAGGCCACGTGGCTTGGTCTCTTCACGAAGAACAAATGCGGAGGTGTTCTCATTACAGAGAAGTACGTCGTCACTGCTGCCCACTGTCAACCAGGGTAAGGATGATACTTTCATAATGTGTTTACATGATTCTTCGATGGTTTCGATAATTTATTGCTTCTTCTGGCACAGATTCTTAGCGACCCTGGTGGCAGTTTTTGGTGAGTTCGATCTATCCGGCGAATTGGAGGGCAAACGAAGCCTGACGAGGAACGTTCGACGAGTGATCGTGAACAGAGGCTACGATCCTGCGACGTTCGAGAACGATCTGGCTCTGCTGGAACTGGATTCTCCTGTAGAGTTCGACGAACACATCGTGCCGATCTGTATGCCGGAGGATGGCACGGATTATACTGGGAGAATGGCCACTGTCACGGGTTGGGGACGATTGAAATACGGTGAGTAGCAGATTCTCGATCCTACGTTGATAAGTAGACGTCAGAAAAATCCTTCATTTGTATGATGTAACGTAATCATTTGCACAGATGGTGGTGTACCGTCGGTTCTCCAAGAGGTACAAGTGCCAATCATAAAGAACTCCGTCTGTCAGGAGATGTTTCAGACAGCCGGCCATTCCAAGCTGATTCTCGATAGCTTCCTTTGCGCTGGTTACGCCAACGGGCAGAAGGACTCGTGCGAGGTACTTTTAGGGCAATTTAATTTCCTGTCGCGAACCATTAGCTTATTACTTGAAAATTTCGCGATTCATTGCCTTCGTGGTAGCAAAAATCCGGGATTCCATTGGTCTGTTCCTCGTGGAATGGTGTCATTAATCTTGTCGATGCGTTCTTCAGGGTGACAGTGGCGGGCCGTTGGTGATGCAACGACCGGACGGAAGATGGTTCCTGGTTGGCACGGTGTCGCACGGGATTAAATGCGCCGCTCCCTATCTACCTGGTGTCTATATGAGGACCACTTACTTCAAGCCATGGCTGCAGGGCGTCACCGGGACCAGAGGATCAGGAAACTGAATCGTTTCCCACGGGGGAAACGCGACTGGCATCGATGATTCTCCGTGCCGCTTGTATAAATGTACAAAGGACCAACTAATTTATTTCCTTCGGGATAGATCGAAGAATGTCGGCCGAGGGACTAAAGAGAGTTAAAACGCGCACGAAATGCGTCTCTGATACTATTTCCAACTTTAAATAACTGACATATAGATAAGATAAGGGTGCAGAAAGTTGAGAATGATCGATTATTTAAATTTCGAAATAGTATCGTAATAAATATTGATCGGTGTATACGAGAAAGAAACGGTGTACGTATTCTATGTGTATTCAAATCGTCGAACGTGGTTTGTGTGTTCCGTGTACATATACGTGATTACGTGTATACCAGCCAGAAAACGGGCAAACTTTCGAATGTGAAACACTTCGACGGCGATTTTATGGACGGAATAATATTAACGAGTAATCGATTGTTAGAGGATCAGATCAAGGAATTCTGATACCAATAAAGTCTTGCTCAGCTGCGGTACCAGCCCGTATCTTATATGTATACACGGTTACGTGTTTTGCGAGAACCTTATTTATTTCGTTGTTAGAGCTGTTATTTATTAAACCCATTTTTCTACAAGATAACAGTCTTTCCTTTAACACCCCGCTCGCACGGCAACGGAAACCAACGTCCGTCCATCCGTCTCGAGACTCGAGTTATGCGGAATTTCTACAGTTCACGCGACCAACGGGGAGGGAGGGAAAAAAAAAAATAAACGATCTTCAGGTCGACCATAAAAATCGTCGAACGACCTTACGCACTCGTGTAATAATCACCGGAGAGTGGCAGCGTGCAAATGCCACGAAGTTCACGCGACGTGGACGAAGTTTCTCGGAACTGGAGGAACCTGTTACGTCTGTCGGCACGCGACAGTTAATCCCAGGTAGCGCATCTATCCGGTACAATATACGGAATTATTTACGCGGGAACGAAAAAAAAAACGGGTCAGGTTAGGCCGGGGACCGGTTACGTGACCCACGCATAAAACATAAAGGGGTAGTTTTAATATTCACGAGCACGTCACCCCCGTTCAAGTCTGACCACCCTTCGTCACGAAGTAGCTAGGTGTTTCTCGATTTTTCGTTTCGATTTTTTACCCATTGAGAAAACGGAGAAGGAATATAAATAGGTATTAACGCTGCTAACGGCGAGTGGCCCTTTGGCATTTCCACGGACAGGTGGTTGTGCGTTTAAAGGGAGGGGGGCAGGTGCGTGTACAGGATGCGTGTCGAGAACACTTGAACCGTGATTTTCTCGAGGTAAACACGATTCAGGTGAAATCTGTTATCCATCCAGAATGGTAATTGGTCTGGAAAGATCCAGATAACATGAACGAAACGAAAGCTATCGAATAATTAAAGAAGGGAAAATTGATACTCCGTTTTGTAAGGTGTTGTTTAATTGAACCGCGGGACACATCCGGATACATACACTTCTTCGCGGGCCACGTAGGGAGCTTATATGTATATGGAGCAGGATCGACCGCCCGGTAGAACATCAGGACACCCCGGATCAATATGCCCAAGAGAGACCGAAACAATGGCGGTACGCGAGGCGCGACGAGGACAGAGCTGTACACCCACACAGAATATGCGCCCCGTTCTACGGCGCTGCCTGTGTCCTGGGATGTTGGATGCAATTTTCACGGAGGCTCTTGTCTCATTCTAAATGCCCGTAACCGGAAGAGCTTTCAAGATAATTCCCTTGTACCTTTCCTCGCGGAAAGACGGTGGAAAAGATCTGGGTTAAATTACCAACAATGCAGTTTCTGGAAGAAGGTTATCCCCCAAGCGTTTCCGGAGTTAATGCGAAAGTTCGGAATGAAACGATTAAATGCTCGGCTGTTTGCAATTGTAAATTCGATTCGAATCGCATTTACGGAAACAAACAGAACCCTCTGGAAAATTCTAAGCAAACAAACAGAATTATTGTACGATTAATTGAACACACGATAGATAGATGTGGATCTCTCCGTTCGGGTGGGTACAAGGGTAAGGTACGAGGACTCGTTCGAGATGATCGAAAAGAAATTTTATTATCTATGTTTCTGTCATGTGTGAAAGAGAAAAGGTTATCAAGCGTCGCTTATAAAACGAGCAATCGAAAATCTGAATGAAGAAAATGTCACCTGGGTCGTGGTGCGCGGAAGAAAAAAGTCAAGCGTCGCGCTTGCGCGACGCTTTCCACGAGCTTGCATGTATAAGGGAAACCGGAACGACGTAGGTGTATGTATAGATTGCCAATGCGACCGCGGCTGGACTCAGTCCTCCAGCGAACTCCACCGAGGACTTGTTGATCCCAGGAACTGGTGCGATCTAGGCAGCTGAGATCCTTTTTGGTCAATCTACCGAGAACAACCGGCCGAGCTGAGGCTTAGACCGAATCCTGTGAGTTAGATGATTATTTCGTAATTATTATTTCCAAGATTCTTTTTCATTGGTACCACATTCAACCTTGACTTGTCTTGAACATCATATCGGTTCTAACTTCGGTCTACGATCTGTGATCTTCTTCAGATAGGTACTTTTCCAAAAATGAAACGCAGGCTTGTCCAAATACCACAAATTTTTTTTTTAACTAGAAGGCAAGGAGATTATAAATAGTTGGTAAATCACAGATTGCCTTAGAAAGGTACTGCTTTCCAAATATTACAATTCAATTGAGCTGACCCTGCTTTTGATCTCTCCTGCCAGCTCGCTGCAAACTGAAGATCAGTTTTACGTTATCGCAGATTGTCCGATTTTTCAGAGATCCAGAATCCACTTGGCTGCAATCGATCACAATGACGCATACATGCGTTGCACTAGCTATCGTCGCTTTGGCAAGCACGATGCATTTCGGCGTCGAGGCGTGGGGCGGTCTCTTCAATCGTTTCAGCCCGGAGATGCTGTCGAACCTCGGCTACGGCGGCCACGGGGACTACATGGGCAAAACGGGATTGTACCAGGTACGGGGACGAATAGAAAATCTCGCGAAACGATATAAAGCCCCGAGGTTGTATTTGTCGTAATGTTGCACCTTTGCCGCAGTACGGCCGGTCGCGGTTGGATCGATAGATTATTTTCACGTGAGAGCTGCATGAAAACCGTCCCGACTCTGTCACGAGCGATTCTCACGAGAGAAGAGTCGTTATATCTCGACGCCAATTTGCAAATCAGACTAAAATTGCGGGCAGTAATCAAGCAATTACTCGAACACTGTACACGCGATTATGAGAAATTACTAGGGGCAGTCCTTTGGGAATTAAACGTTGAGAGCTATCTATTTCATGAATCTTTGTAACTCGATCGACATAAGGTTGCTCGAAAAAACATCGCAAATTCCCCCTTAGCACGTACAGTGGATCCCTTAAGATATGGCACAGCCAAAGCATGACCTGCTGCTCTACTTTCGTTCCTTCGTCGCAGTTATTCGACTACATATACATATGTACGTTTTTTAGTCGCGCATTGTGAGTTTTAACGTTTTCGCGTTTCGATTAAAGCGGCCGTTGTCTGCTGCCTATGGAAACTCATACGGTGATTCGTTGGAGGAGCTACCGGATGTGCCGTGTGAAGACAGAACGTGCACGGCCAACGAGCACTGCTGTCCAGGTTTCATCTGCGTGGACGTGGACGGAGGTAATTTTTCGTTTTCCCTGATACTTCAATCTTCTCTGCCCGATCAGACGATGATCAAGCCGTCAATCGGTTGTTCCAGTGATCGGCCATTGCGAGATCTTCGATTTCGGACAGAAACAAGGCGAGCTTTGCAGGCGGGACAACGACTGCGAAACTGGTTTGATGTGCGCCCTGGTGCCCGGCAGCGAGACTCGCTCGTGTCAACCACCGGTGACGTCCAATAAACTATATAGTGAGTATATCCCACGGTTGATTTGGTATCGTTTAACGATTCCGTGGCGGAAGGTCAATTCACAAACGATTACGTCAAAGGGGGATATAATTATACGCTCTTACGCGAAGAGCCTTATATTTAACCTGCCAGCGTGGGACCAACTGTTTCTGAATGATTCCAGATGAGGAGTGTAACATGTCCGGGGAGTGCGACATCAGCCGTGGTCTGTGTTGTCAGCTTCAAAGACGTCATCGACAGACACCCAGAAAGGTACTTACGTTTTCCTTGTTCCTCCTTGTTAACCCTTTCGCTGTGTTGAAAAATAATTTTCAAATGCTCTTCAGTTTTCATTCGTGATTTCACAGAAACTTTTTATATAGATCTTGAGTTTATCTCACGTCGTGTGAAGTGAACATCGAATATGTTAAATAATCTTCATTATTTTTCATTGAAAGTTCTCGCTTGTCCCTTAGGTTTGCTCCTACTTCAAGGATCCTCTGGTGTGCATCGGACCAGTGGCCACCGATCAGATAAAGTCCGTTGTGCAGTACACCTCCGGTGAGAAACGGATCACGGGACAAGGGAATCGATTCTTCAAGAGCGTTCCATTTGCCTAAATGTTCGACCGTGCCTCGTTGGACCGGGTGACAGTGGGAGTGTTGGCAGAAATCAAATACCCATCGTATATAATTCTTGCAGATAATTTAGGATACGTAAGTCTGTCAATTCGAAATTTCCTCGATTCATTCGACGTTTCCGATCCTGTTCTCCTCCGTGACCGCGACGTCACTTCGAACCGGAAGTCGTATTCGTTGAAGCGTGAGAAAAGGATTCGGGAACGATGCAAACGCGCCTACCAATCGGTTCTCTCCTAATATTGCGACTGAGAAATATGATACATATCAGATTAGCCCATTTGTAGGATTGTAAGATAAAATACATATCATTGAGAAGATTTACGGGGCGCGTTTCCAAAAGTTAAGCTTGATTAGAGACGAGCTACGTGTACAGGGTGGATTCTAGACTCCCATCCCATGTACTCTCATTCTTCTTTTCATGATCGTAAAAGACTAGATTTTTGAAAAATCCAATAATCTTCCAGAATCTTCGTTGAAAGTAATTCTTCTTTTTTCTTGCAAAATGATCCCCGTTGCTTTACCCTGTACACGGGCAGAACTAACAAATCCTCGAATCGAGTTTCCTGAATTTACTCGTAAGATGTCTCCTCGAATTACTCAAACGCACAGACAGAGTAAATATATATTTTCATTCTCCTGATTCTCGAGAAGAGGTATCGGATAAATATCCAATGGTACAGGAATATTTTTCACGGGGAAATAGGGGAAGTTTGACGTGACATGAAACTCAAAAAAAAAAAAGATCGGTATCCTATCGAATACACTTTATCCGTGAACTTGATGAGATGAAGAAACGCTTCGTCGGTGTCCATGTTAAGTACTATCGTAAAATTTCGGGACAAATTAACCTCAATTGATGCGTGTCCGGAAGAAGATCTGAAAAAAAAAAAGAATACATATCAAAGAAGTTTTTGCTTCGCGTAGCGTATATTCCAAATTCTTTAGAGGTATACGTGTGTATGTAGTGATCCAGTAGGAGGATTTCATTTCAAGTGTGGAATCCGCTCGATGAAACATTTTATCGCGGGAATCGCTCTACATATCAAGGATTAAATCGCGGGAATCGCTCTACTGAATATTGAAACCTCGGAGGTCGCTTCGTTAAGTGTTATTGAGAAGCCTTAGGGTTAAATATAACGTAATTAAAGGAACTCATGCATCTATGGGAATCGCTACGTTAACTAAATATCTGTCTATGTTAAACGACGCGCGATCGATATCTGTGGGAATCGCGGGCGTTTAATTGTAATTGTGATTTCAAATGAATCGTAATTGTTGAACATTATTGATTAACGCAGATCAAGCGAATGTTACAATTGTAATTATTGTCAGAAGCCGCGGTGTTATTTTGTTTTTTTAAAAAAAGAAACACCATCGCGGATACTCTTTCTGATGCGTCAAGTACCTGTTGCGAAATCTGGACAACCCCTCGTTTCTACGCCACTGATGCTAATCATCGAGAGTCCAACTACACAAATAAAAGAAAGAAAGAAAGAACGTATTTCTAGTTACACGAAATATATATATATATATATATTATATAAATACTATATATTATACTTCCAACGTTGACCTTTATCGTGTAAGGGAAACTCTAACATATCATGTGAATGCCTAAATCCATTAAGGAGAATTTTAAATGTGAATGTTATTACGCGAGATATATATATCGTATTGAAATTATATTTTTATCTTCGATCGATATGTGTACTTAAACATTATATATTTACATAGTATTCATATATTTTCCGGATTCGTATATCTATCAAGTAATGTAATTACCCTCTGATGCGTCGTGCGTATGTCATATTGTAACAAGTATTCAATTGTTTTCGATTTACAATTCCAGGTTCAAAGTATACCTTGATAATGATTGTTTCAATTTTGCGTCTTTACAGAAGTCCTCTTAAACAACCATTTTCTTTACTTAACCGTCGAATTATTACTTAAAAAACCCAAAGAACAAATACAAGATCATAAAGTGATACTAATACATATCATAGGCTAAATGCTTGAAAAATTTCGTTTAAACGTACGACTCATTGGGGGGCTATGGCCATATGGGCCCTGAGTCAAAGTACCTCTATCGAATAAATTAATTCCAGCGTAACTGTATGTGTATAACTATATGTACTGTTCAAAATTATAATGCAGAGTTATAATAGTTTAATGTGAAATACATTGTGGTGCATACAAAACGATTAAACCTGTTGCAATTACTCTGTTCCTTTCCAAGTAGACCAGAATACCCCACATTCGTTACGCATCATGGAGGACATCTTTACAGCATGAAGTTGGAATATTATAAAAAGAATTATGTATACTATTATAAATAAAGTCAATAAAGTAATGAATAACTAGTGTTGAAATTAACCCCAACCCATTACTTAAATCTTAAATGATAAGCATTTTTCAATATGCTAATAAAAGAAATAAGTATATTCCGTCAACTGAAAAAGTTAGTAGCGAACGAAAATGGCGGAATGCGAACGAGTCCCGTATACCGTCTGAAGATCAATATTATCCGCCCATTTTTGTGTTAAGAAAATATGTATTTAATTCACAATTTCCCACATAAAAATTACCAAATTGTTTCTGCTAAGAGTCTACAGTTTCCCATCTTTAAAACTCCCTCCACAACAGTGAATACCGGTCTGCCAACTCGACTGTTCCAGAACAGATGGCAGGGCGTATTCGTGAACATCCGTTGCAGGCAACAAGATGGTCGTGTAGTTCTGACGACGAAGGAACGTAATTCACTGAAGACGGACGCCCCTTAAAACCGGGTTTTATTAACGAAGTGTACGCGTTTATTTTGCGTGCAAAATGACCGCGATTCCTGGCACCGTGGCCTTCGACGAGTACGGCCGACCTTTTATCATCCTTCGTAATCAGGAGAGACAAAAACGGCTGACCGGCAACGATGCAATTAAGGTAAACTTGCGTTTTTTTTACATAATTTCTCTTATACTTTTCATTTCAAAATGTTAATTATTCTTTTGAACACGTATTTCATTATAATTCTATTAGGTTCAAACGTTTATACCTTCCTAAACGTGTTTGGAGGATGATCGACCACGTGAAGCTTTACGGAATGGCGGCGTTTTGTGCTTGGCAATTCATTCTAAAAACGTTACTCGAAAGATATAATATCAGTCGAAATTATAATTATAATTATTTTTTATTATATTCAAGGAATTATTTATTATATTTGGACTCACCAGGAAGTGGGTGATAAAAATAAATAGAGCTTCACTGGTCTGCCCTTTTTTTTTTACCATAAAAGGACATTTGTCACTTCGCGATAGAGCCTAATAGAAGTTCCGGAATTTATTAGTTCTCTAAGAACACTATTTTCTGCTATGATATTTAAATATAAAATAGTATTTAAATAATGTTTATTCAGTAATTATCTGTGTTTCTGAAATAGAATAGATATTACATTTTAAGGTTTACTGAGAAGCATGCTTATAAACTACTAACTTCTTATGTTTCAGTCCCACATTTGGGCAGCCCGCAATGTAGCCAATATTCTAAGAACTTCTTTGGGACCTAAGGGTCTCGATAAATTAATGGTAAGCTCTGATGGAGATATTACTGTAACAAATGATGGAGCAACAATCCTGAAGAACATGGATGTGGACCATGAAATTGCCAAATTAATGGTCCAATTGTCCCAATCTCAAGATGATGAAATTGGAGACGGTACAACTGGTGTTGTTGTATTAGCTGGTGCACTTTTGGAACAAGCTGAGCAACTGTTAGATAAAGGAATTCATCCAATCAGAATAGCAGATGGTTTTGAAATGGCAGCAAAATGTGCTACTGAACATCTCAAGACTATTGTAGATGACTTTGAAGGAAGCAGCGAATATTTGGAACCCTACATCAATATTGCTATGACCAGTCTTGGCTCAAAAATGTAATGAGAAGTTTTGTACTTGCGTGTATTGGTTGTAAATACAAGTTGGCAATACCTTTCCTATTTTTTCCAGCATCAACAAGTGTCATAAGCAAATGGCAGAAATAGCTGTAAATGCTGTATTTGCAGTTTTAGATCCTGAAGCACGGGATGTGAATTTTGAACTCATTAAAGTAGAGGGAAAAGTTGGTGGCAGGTTGGAAGACACTATCCTGGTTCGTGGTGTTATAGTCGATAAGGACTTCAGTCATCCTCAAATGCCAAAGGTAAGTAGTACTTTTATGTAAATTTCCAAAACTGTATTGTATTTTTTAATGATGATAAAACGCAATAGAGAAGGGTAAAGGTTCAGATAATTTGTTTGGTCTACTTTTTCTTTGAATTCAGCACTGTTCTTGTGGCTACTATTTTCTGTAAGCTATTGGAAAGTGAAGTTTCTGTTAAAGTGTAATCATTCAGTGATCTGATCTTTACAGTGGCTTCAATGATCATAAGATTATGAGAGCTGAACTAACAGTTACTGTCTAATAAATGACTTCATTAAGTTACGAAATATACACCGTGAAAAAATTGTATTATGTTGTAGAGGCTGGAAGATGTTAAGCTGGCCATTCTAACGTGTCCATTTGAACCACCTAAGCCAAAAACAAAGCATAAGTTAGATGTTACTTCAGTTGAAGACTACAAGGCTTTGCGTGAATATGAACGGGAAAAATTCACAGAAATGGTGAAGAGGGTGAAGGATGCAGGAACAACACTTGCTATTTGCCAGTGGGGATTTGATGATGAAGCAAATCATCTTCTCCTGCAAAATCAATTGCCTGCTGTCAGATGGGTTGGTGGTCCAGAAATTGAGGTAAGTTGCACTTACTTTCATTATATGCAAGTTGTTTCTTTGCCTAATGATGACAAAACGCAATGGAAGAGGGTAAAAGATTAGATGGCTGACTTGCAGAATTTCAGGAAACTAAGTATTATTCTCATATTATATTCCTAATGAGAGAATAAAAATTGAGATCCTTTAAATTTAGTGGTTGGCGATCTTGCTTTTACCGTGGCTCTAATGACTATAAGATTATGAGATCTGAGGGCTTTTCGTTATATCGTTTGTAGTAAATTAAAATAATAAGAAACAGTTGTAAAGCAGTCCTGAATCCTTTTTCAGTTAATTGCTATTGCAACTGGTGGTCGTATCGTTCCGCGTTTCGAAGAATTAACACCTGAGAAACTTGGTCACGCCGGTGTTGTTAGGGAGCTGACATTTGGTACCACCAAGGATCGTATGCTCGTCATTGAGGAATGCAAGAACTCTCGCGCAGTCACCATTTTTATTCGCGGCGGCAACAAGATGGTAAGTAAAATCTTATTTCTTTAGAATTAATCGTAAGCAAGGAGAATTTCAGCGGTGTTCAAATATGCCTTACTGACCAGACACCTTGCAAGATCAATGCATTAAAAAATTCCTTATATTGTTCAATTTAGGTAAATTTCATTGAACATAACTTTTCTGATGCTACAACTACAAACGAAATGTATAAAACTGATCGAATATAAATGGAAATTTTCGGTTAAACTGAATATAATTCCCGCCGCGTCACCGTTCTTATACGCACACGTTATAACAAGCCATAAAAACTTCATTTGATCAATGAAGTTTATCGATTTATTAAACTATCTGAATTTCTATTTCAAGATCATTGAAGAAGCTAAGCGAGCAATTCACGACGCGCTCTGTACGGTTCGCAACTTGATCAAAGATAAAAAGATTTTATACGGCGGAGGTGCTGCCGAAATTTCCTGCGCCATTGCGTGCGAGAATGAAGCTAACAAAATAAGGACTCTGGAACAGTATGCATTCCGTGCGTTCGCAGAAGCGTTGGAAGCTGTGCCAATGGCACTAGCTGAGAATTCTGGCCTTTCCCCAGTGGACACCCTGGCTGACATAAAGGCACGCCAAGTGGCAGAAAATAATCCCGCTCTCGGTATCGATTGTTTGAATTGGGGTAATGCGGGTACGTACCAAATTGTACTATATTCTTGACTTTAAGTAGAATAGTTTGTTGCAACAAATGGAATTCAAATGATTTTTTAACGTTGCAGATATGAAAGCCCAAAACATAATCGAGACTCTAACCAGCAAAACGCAACAAATCTTGCTGGCTACACAATTGGTCAAAATGATACTCAAGATCGATGACATCCGTTCGCCAACTGATGCCCGTGATGCAGCCTAAAGAAAGTATTTTTAGCTTCGAAAGATTACTGTATGAAAAGATCTAATTATAATTATTACATAATTCACCTTTTTTGCTTTCTCGAGCTTCATTCACACTTCTAATTTGACGTTTAAATTGAATTAACTTCTTCTCTCGTCTGTTCGCTATAACAAGGATAATTTATATAACAATATTGTGATACAACACGAATAAACTGTTTTACTTTTTACCAACACTCCTTACGTCTTATGGCCCTTTCATTCACGATCATCGTCCCTACTCACACACACATACACATTGAATGATACGTTCTCCTTTCCCTCAACGATCTTCTTTTTTTATTTTCATTGTAGGAACAAATAAATTTGTCACATCGAGTCAAGGTATATACGTGTAAACAGATTCTTCTTTCTGTATACTTCCGGGACGGGGAATTTTCGTTTCAAAGGGATTGTTTCTCTATGGAATGTGTGTGCTCTTAAAGCCGTAAACGCAAATGCAGATTCGACCAATGTAAGAAACAGAATTTTTTTAGAATCGCTACTAATAAAATGGCACAGAATACAATCGCTTGTACATATATATAAATTATATTATAACAACAATATATACCTCTGTCTTTCTCTCTCCTGCTCGTATCTTTCGCTATCTTCTGTCTTCGGTCTGCGGGGAACCGACTTCGTAATTAATCTTCCTCGTATCACAAAATATACAATCTCTCCCAATGTAACGTTATATCTCTCTCTTTCTCTCTTTCTCTCTTGCCATTCCGTTTTTTTATACATTAAGTACATTTCTCCGCCGGATTACACGAATATTGCGTGCAAAAATGTTCTTCCTCAAAGTTGCAATGCATTCCTGTGCAACAATTTTCGATAGACATGCACCAGTGTCGACGAAACAACGCGGTACCATTAAACTCTTTTAATCTTGATAACAACATTTCCGTATCGCACGATACAGAATTCGGCACTTCTTGTCTCACTATATCCACGTTTACGATAAATCTAATGATTCTCCATCCGATTCCGATGTAATTGCAAGCCCCAGCAGAGCCTTCAAACGACACCGTTCTTAAATCTCAACGAATATATCCTCACGTACACGCGTTACGAATAACGAAAAATAGAAAAAAAAAGAACATATGATTTCACGTTTTCTCACCCATTGGAACGTATTCTTCGAATCGACGTGTGTCACGCGGGCAGGAATTATGCTTCGTAAAATACGAATTATTCGAGTAAAAAAAAACATATAAAACGTGATATCGATGACCCGCTCGATGCGTTCTCTAATTCTTGCTCTTTCTGTTCTGTGGTTCTTTTCTTCTTATTTTTTTCTTTTTTTGCTGCATTTTAATAAATAGGCTACGCGAATTTGATTATTTGTTACTCAAACTAAAAGTTACATGCGCAGAGGGGCCACTAAGTTTCATTGTAACTATAATTACACCTTCTTGAGCATAGGTAAATGAAGTACTTCCGGTATTTCGATGTCCTCCAAACGAATGTCCGATGGATTGAACGGGACCCTTATTGGGTACGAGTACATTAGATCCATCAACAACTGCAACAAAAAAAAAGAATTTTTGTTTTCCGATTAATGTAACTAAAAATATATAAAAATCGTTTACGAAACAATCTGCGTAGAGTCTCCACTTGCCTGTTCGTTGTTCTCGCCGCGCTCGCTCAGCTTGGCCTGCACCTTCTTGATAAACGAGACCGGGACACGGGTTTCGAAGTCGTCGGCGGGCGTGTACAAGTTCAGTATTTTCACTATCTGATTCGCGGTTAGTTTGTTGCACATCTCGCAGACGGAATCGACATCCTCGTCGGTTTTACGGGCCTGCAAGAGGTGGGCCGCTTGTATGATCGGTTGTAGCGCCTCGGATGCTGGTTCCAATCGTCGATCCCTTCCCCATTGTTCCAGATGACTGAGATTGTACCGTATCTGCATGCCCTTCGTCCATTGGCACAGTTCGTTTCTCAGCAGCAAATTGTTAAGGGCGCTTGCGCACATGAAATAGAACAACTGTTTGAAGAGCTGAGTGACAATCTCGGTGTCGACGCCATGATACTGAAGTGTTTTGTACACCGACGTCAGCTCATCCAGAAGTTTGTCGAGCTTCTGTTGCGTGGACTCTGGTTCTTCGCCCATCGAGGAGGATCGTGGTCGGCCAGACTTCGAGTTCAACCCCGAGATTGCCTCGTGCTCGAGAAGAGCAGGCACAGTCAACGCCTGAATCCGTTCTTTTAGGTTCGTCACGATATTATTGAAGATCCAAAGCGCCACGTTGCTCAGAACAACCCTGTACTCGCTCAGATCGAAATTCCTGAGACACTGTTCGTTCTGTCTGGGCGAGTTCTCGATTTGGAACGGTTTGTCGCCGGAGTACTGCTTCATACTGTGCAGTAACCTCAATGTGTTGCTCAGCCAGAGCACGCCGGAGTCGAAATCCTCGCGTTTCTTCACCACGCGTTTCACAGCATTCAGATAGGCTGTCAGAAGCAAACGAACTTTCTCGTCGTCGTTTATGCAATCGGTGTGTCTGATGCACATGAAGAGGATGTACGCAGGTAGACCGGGAAGTAACGTCACCGCGATCCTGGGATTTAGGTCTGGAAGAAGTGATTTACAATTTCTCCTCTTAATCTTATCTCCTCTTGGTGTATATTGACTTAACATAAGGCTGTATATTGTCACTAAATATTTGTTAATTTGGAAATTAAACTACCAAGTGCGATTCACACGAATAAACACAATAACACTGTAGAAATAAAATGAGTGCTCGTTTAATTTTAATATCGACTAGAACTCACCGATAACCAGATGACGCATTACCACATTGATATCCTCTTTCCTGAACTCGAACATGCCTTCGTAGTCCCTCTCCTTTTTCCTAATCGCTGGCATGTTGCTCCCATTCTCGCCTGAATGGCTAGTGGAAGACATTATCGTGGAATCACTCGCGGGCTCTGTGGTATCCGGCACTATGACAAAAAGTATGAAACTCTCGAGTTACACTGTATCGATACTGATGGATTTTTGGTGGAAGTCATGAACTATATGATCGTTGAATTTATGAGCAAAGGTGAGTTATGGTCTGCGTGACGTGCGACGATGATGAACACTGGACCATTCACTCACCGGCGCCCTTTGGAACACGAGGACGATCCTTATGTTCCTTAGAATCGTCTCCCTCGTCTTCGAAAGCATTTGAATATCACACAGTTTTAATACTAACACTTAAAGTACATTCTTCGCTGTAAATTTATTGTACTCTCGAAAAACAGAAAAATGCGTTCATCGATTTGTTCGTGTACTTACAGCCTGCGTCTCGGAGACGTTTCGCCAGTATTCTACATTGTTTCTTGAATCTCCTGCATTCTTCTGCTACCTTGTCGTGCTTCTCCTGCAGCTCCTGGAGAGGTTTTCAGTGCAATTATTAAAAATGTTCAACCACCACCGAAGAAGGATTTCTGTGATCCTTACCAAATTCTCAGTTGTCACCCTGGCGATCTCATGCTGCATGAAAGCCTCGGTTTGCGTCTGTGGTGACTTGCTCACGTTCACCGAAAGCAACTTCTGCTGCTTTTCGATTTCCTCCTGCAGCCGATCGATTTCCGCCCGCCATTCGTTCCTCTGTTCCCGCCATCCTTTTTCCTTCGTTTGAAGCTCATCCTCTAATTGCCTTTATAAATGGGAAACAAAGGAATCCAGATTAACTCGTCTCCGAATCGTACAACCGCATCGAGTTGTTCAATCGAAAGTAAGGGAGAGGATTTACACTCGCAGCTATGTTACAGCCCAAAATAGTATTCTCGAGACTAGCGATGAATATTATTATTATAAGTAATCCGTATGTTTATACGCTGGTATTCCCGATTGAACAGTACGATAAACTAAGCGTATCAGCGATTATTTCGTGGACAAGATTTGTCTTCTCAACTCACTCTCTCGAAGCCTTTCGCTTTGTCTTAAGTCTACTGAAAATCGACGTGCATGCACAAACGACAAAACGATTAGATACACGGTGATCTCTCCTGCTTCCATCGTGAATTACATAATCGGAGAGTAACCGGGCAATGGTCGTGATTTACCTGTTGATCTTTTTCTGCGTCTCGAACGCGAGCACCAGCTCCCCGTCCTCGTTTATGATGTCCACGTCCCGACCGTAATTCGAGCCCAGGCTCTTCATTCGCCTTGTGTTGTCGGCCAGCACGCTGTGCAGCTGAATACACTCTTCTCGCCTTCTCTCGAGTTCCTCCTGAAGCGCGTCGAATTGTCCTAGAATTGAAATCCACTTATCGTACACCGTGCTTATCCACCTGGCGCAGATATGTACTCTAATCGAACACTGATAAGCTCTCATTGCTCGAGACAAATTAAAATAAATATATTCTGCGGTATGTATGATATGTGGTATGGCAGAGAGGTACACAGGACGTAATGTTTTTTTTACCTTTGTACACTCTAGCTACACGGACTCGAGTCGTTTGAGGATAATAGCTGTGCCCCTACCCTACTTACTCGTCGAGAAACCATATTCTCCTCCTCACGTTTACTCGAGTCTGCGGAGTCGAATGTAAGAAAGAAATTCTCCGCTCGAAAGGGTTTCGTCGCCTTTCGGACTGAGAGAATATACGAAACATCCTGTAGAGAGTAGTAAGCATAAGCGAAGCAGATGTGGAGGGCGAAGGGTGCGAAAGCAAAAGTCTGCGAGCTAAGAATGTGCACTGTATTTGTACAACTCACGAACCAAGATACGGTTCACGGAATTACAGCAAATAAAAACGGAAAAAACAAAGAATAAGCTTTACAGAATTCTGAAAGTGAACTAAACAAAACCAGTTTACAGCATTTTCGAAAACCAATAATGAAACAACTCCTTAGCGATGTAAAAGATTAAATTACCCATGAGACTCTGCTGTGCACCCGTCAGGCCCGCCGAGGATACGTTTTTCCTCAGCGAACCTAGATCTTTCTTCAGCTGCGCGTTCTCCATTTCCAGTTCTTGGAGCTGCGAGCAACAATTTCAAAATCAATACATATTCCCAAATTATTAATCGTATTATTCCTTAATTATCCGAATACATGAAATTACCCTGAACGTGTCCTGTGTCCTTGAAGTTTCCTCCGGATTATCCCTCTCCAAGTCCTCTACCATTCTGATCAATCTTCCCTTCTCTTTCTCGACGTCCTTCAGTCTCTGCTGAAGTTTCAAAACTAGACCGATATCAACCGGCGCGTGTGCCGGTCCATTCGTCTCTGGAGGTGATTTATGGGTCTGCACCTCTCCGTCAGGCGGGCTGTCCGATCGATGTTGACTCCAATCGATCGTTTCCACCCGTGAGTAAGGAGCCGAGGATGACGCTGTCGATCGTACCGATCCGTAACCAAGATCCTACAAGATTGACCTCGTTAAAAATACATTTCAAAATCTGTTTTCAGCGATCGTGATAAGGATCTTACAAGATTTTGATCGTCCTGTGCAAGCTCCGTGGACACGATTTGCCCGCTGCTGCTAGAAGCATTGCTAAGGGAACGCGAATGAGCCGGAGCGTGCATCGCCAACTTTTGTTCCAGCAGTTCCGCGTGCTGCTCCAGTTCGTGGTACTCCTTCAACAGTCTCTGATAGGCCCCACGATCTTGATCCTGATCCAGCAGGAGAAGATCCTTTTCTTGCTCCAATCGATGCTTCAAGTTCTCCTCAGCACCGCGTTGATTATTCTTCAGCTTCTCGGAAGCCACCGACAGATCTTTCCTCAGCTTCTCTATTTCTTCCTCGAGTTTCTTATTCTCCTGTGTTTTCTCCTGAGTACTCCTCTCCTTCTCCTAACGAGATTAAATTGAAGTTTATACGAATATAAGATTTCAATGTATGTATCACACGCTACCTGCAAGATATCCATCTTCTCGTCCCTCTCGATTTTAATCACATCCTGCATCTTCTCCAACTCTTTCTCCTTCTCCAGTAATGTAATATTCAATTTCCTGTTTTCAACCTCGACGGACTTCAGTCCCTCGAGCTTGTGCTTCAGGTCCACCATTTCGTTTTGTACATTCTTCAACGTTTGATTCTCTTTCGACTGAAAGAAAAATTGGGGAACTTAATAGATACACGTTCAACCAAAAACGAAAAAAAAAACAAATATAAAACATACGAGTTCAGTGTTCTTCTGTTGCAAGGTGATAATCTTCTTCTCCAGACCTTTGTTCAACGACTTCACGTGTTCCACGCTTCTAGCTTCAGCCTTTAGCCGCCTGAACACTTTCTTAGCCATATACCTCCTGACGCAAGCCTGAACAATCACGATATTCTCCACTTTCTTCTTGCAGGCCATCCGAACCAGGTATCCCCTGCAGAATCGCTGGATCGTGATCGCGGCGGCGTTGTCCTTCATCACCTTGTATCTCTCACGGGCCATTTTGCCTCGGCCGTACATCTGGATACCCATGACAGTGCGTTTTATCTGCAGGTATCGGCGCCTCTTCAGCCAGCCCTTCACGCGAGCTTGGATCTTTATCGCGGCTCTCTCTTCCCTCACTGCCTGAGCCTTCTGTCTGGCGATGTAACCTCTGCCGTATCTTTGCAGGCCGAGCACAGCTCGACGAATCTTCCTGTACCGATTACGACATATCAGACCGCGCACTGTCTTCTGGATGATGACACAAGCGTCCCGTTGCCGTTCAGCTCGGAGCTTCTCTAGGTAGGCCACCTGGCCAGCCCGGAAAAGGACCTTCGACTTGCCGAATTTGAACTTGTCCTCGTCTTTGATGTACCTGCAAAGTTCTCAGATTGACTTTGTGGTAGACTTTGTACTTCTGTTTAACAACCTGCCTCGAGAATTAACACTTAACCGACCGCTATTTATAAGTATAACGTTAAACCGTTAGCATAGAGAATATTCGAGATTCCACTGGTTATTGAACTCTGAAGAAATACAACATCTTTCGAAAGTATTGTCAAAAATCTGCGACCAGGTAAGTGTTTCTCCAGTGCCAGAATGATTCTAACCTTGCCAATATACGCCTGCAAGTCTCTTTCAAATCGTCACGACGTATATCTTTGAATCTACACAGACTTCTGTACCGAAGGAAGAAATCATTGTACGTTCTCTGGCTGGGGAAACCAGCCGCGGATATTCTGATTGTTTCGAGGACACCGCAAGCCCGTAATTGTTGCACCGCGCGGACCGGATTGTACTCGAAAGCCTCCTTCGTGTCGTTCGGTTTAATGCAACGCACGTAATGCGGGGTGGTCGCGTTCAGTGTAGCCATCAACATGTTCAAAGAATCACGGAACTGCGATCCCACCTGCGTACCCAACAGGAATAACATTAACCAACAATTTGTGATTTTTGCGATAAATTACCGTAACCATTCTATACCGTTTTCTTGTTCTGCTTGGGTGTGACAGACATTGGTTTCTGGGCAGACACTTTCACCCTCACGTTTGGGGGCACCATGAGCTTTGGATCTTCTTCGCTCAGAAGTTTCTTCAATAATTTATTCTGAAACAAAAAGTTCGTGATTGCAGCACAGAACTACCGAACCCCTGCGATCTTAATACTCGCGAAAGGAATTTTCCATCACGCACATCTCCGTTCCGTAGCGCGTCGACCTGCTCCTCGATCACGGTGTCCCTGTTCTTCTCCAGAAAGCCTGTCGTCTCGTACCGTACCAGATCAGCGAAATGATGGATGAGGAACGCTGAGGTGCCGAACCGAGGCTTCTCGAAATGCTTCGATTTACCACACTTCGCGTACAATTTCTCCGCCCAGGAGCTATCTGAACCTTTCGGCATCTGTTGTTCAAAGCGGTTATATGATACTTAACAATTGCTTGGAGGTTCGAAGGCAAAGTATTAGAAGAAGGGTGTCTTTTTACTGACTCTGCACTCCTCGTCCAACAGGTCCAGTATTCCCAGCTTCGTCTCGATGAGATCGATGCATGGCTGATTGTCGTAGAAATCTATAAAAGTCCACTCAATCTCCTCCCTGAGGTATTCCTCCTGTTCCAATTTGAAGACATGCTGATTGAACTGCTGTTGCAGCTTCTCGTTTGCATAATTTATGCAGAACTGTTCGAAAGAATTGATCTCGAACGTCTCGAACCCGTAAATATCGAGCACCCCGATGAAGCACTGGGGCTTGTTCTGTGATTGCAACGATCTGTTAATACCGGTTACGATCCAATTGAATAGCTCCGCGTAAATGTGCTTCGCTAGGGCGTCCCTGGCGCCAATCGCTTGCTCCACGTGCATCGGTTTCAGAAATACTTCTCTCATCGAGACGATTTTTCGGTGGCACAGCCACTTTCGCATTGCGTTCATATCTGTGCCTAACAGTTCGCAAATCGTCAATAGATGCTTGTCCGATGGCTAGAAGAACAAGTAAAAGATTGAACAGTTTTGAAAGACATGCGCGTGTACAGTTGGCCAGGAAGGTATTCTGGTTTCCTTTCGAGACTTTATTCTCCATTTTACTATTAAAATATTTAAGAATGGTAAGCTAATTAACGTTTGATATTCAAAGTAGCCAGTTACAATCACAACCAACTGTATGTACACTACCAAAAACGAACAGTGCATATTTACGGAAATATAGCTGGCCTCGGTGTCGTTCTCGTCGCTCGAGTTCTGCGTCTCGGAACTCTTAATATTAACATTCCCTAAGTGCATGATGGCCGCTAAAATACGGAGCATGTCGTCCTGTTGCTTGGACGTGAATCCGAGCATGGTGAGAGCGGTAATCGTCTCGTCAAAGCACGCTAAATCGTCGACACCGTCGATTACCGGATTATACCCTTGATTCAGATAGTGAAACTGATTCTGATGACCTAAATGCAAGTGAGGGAGGCGCGACGTGGCTGCGCACATTTGGTAAAATATGTGATAATTCCTTTCCTCATTCGCCTAGAGAATTGCTCGTTTAAACATTCACGTCGGAAAAAAACGATGCATCGATGTGTGTGCGTGTGTATACACACAATTTCAATTCCTATCTGTAATCATACCTGAAACACGACCCTCGATTTCTCCAGCAGATAGGTCCTCATACTCGCCCCTGTTATGTGGTAATGCCTGTTGAACTGTATCTCGATGAACTTGCCGAATCGCGATGAATTGTCGTTCCTCGTGGTTTTCGCGTTACCGATCGCCTCCATGATCGGCAGAGAGGCGAGAACCTTCTTCTCGACCTGCGTTTCCGTCGTCGAACCTCCAACAGTGGCGAAATAACGCATCGTATACTTTGCGGAGACCGTTTTACCTGCGCCTGATTCACCGGAAACGATGATCGATTGATCGTGGCCCTCCCTACGATATCAGAGAACTCTTTATACGTTTACTTCTTTCCTATATATCTCGAAACTAAAGAAAAACAAAATATTTTCCAACCTTTCCAATTTCGTGTAGGCCTCTTCAGCGACGGCGAATATATGGGGCTCCAAATCGCCCATCGCCTGGCCCCTGTACGCCCAGATCGTGTCATTTCCGTAGATTGGGAGCTCGTTGTACGGATTAAAGGCGACCAAAACGATGCCGCAGTACGTGTATATACAGTGCCTCGAGAAACGTATCTGAAGATTGTAGAGGACTGCCGGTTCGTGGAGAAACGACAGGGACGTTAAATTGTTCTCCCCGATCAGTATATCGGGATTCCTTAATGGCGGAAGATCAGTGTCCGATTTTATTTCGAGCGTTTTCGTCTGATTCGAGTCATCCGTGTGGACCTTCAAGGTCGGTTGATTTAGCTTGTAATCCTCCAGGAGCACTGCGCCTTCCCAAACCTTTTCCAGGTGCGGCACCCATACCCTACCACCCTGGAGAACATATTATTCTTCAACCACCATACGTTTATTCAAATTAAACAGAGGAGACGAGACACGTAAGTGGAATGAGTTCTACTCCTAAAGAATAATTGTTTTCTTTAATTACTCCGATTACAGTTCATAATGGCAATAGACGATGAGTCCATTTTTCAAACTCTTGTGTTTTGTCGTGCTGTCTTCCAGGTTTCAACAATCAAATCAGAACACAACCATTTTCGAATGGAGCTAGAGTGTGGACACGACGTATAAGCTACACAGGTTGTTGAATCATCGGTTATAATCATGATTTCTCGAAGCACGTTGTTCAACCTCGCGGGCGAGCTCGCGCGAGTTAATTACTCGACGTCTAATCCAGCTCCCCCCTTCCTGAGTTCGGTACAGATGACCCGCTTTTCTTCCTTTTTGCGGGACGTATGAAAATTAGGTCGGCAATACAGCATATCGATTTCGACGTCGAGTGCGCCAAATCGTGATTGGTTATCGCGTTAACTGTTATTACTTTTCAACCACGGAACAGAGAAACGTCCTTCTGCTAGTGCGACGGCAGCACCGAGAATAAGTTCTGGATTATTGATCCCGAGCGATCATTAGTCTTTTACGATTCCATCGGACTGAAACAATACACTCGTAAAAAGAATAGACTCAACGAAAAGTGTACCGTTCTATTTTTCTTAAGGGGAACAAAGAAATCTGTAACGGTACCATCAAAATTGTACTTTCATAGGTCCCTGCGGATAATGCAAACGAGACACGAAACGCCGAAATGTACTGTTATCGAGCTCATTGCTCCGACGAAACGTGAATTACGTGATCTGAAGAAATATCAGGGCAACGGTAAAGTTCACTGCTACCATTATCCCACTGTTACCTTGACGTCGAGGGATTGACGTTCAGAAAAGATTCAAGAAATCTTCCGAGTCACTGTCGTAGAACGGAACAATGTTACTACAATCGCGATATGTGTGGGGAGTGCGTGCGTGCTAGAAGAAGTGAAAAGTAGCCGTGAACTCTCACGATCCAATCTTGTATGTCAACTGTTACGCAAGATACGTCACGAAGGACGCCGAGAAGAAAAGTGAAAAAAAAAATGGAGAAAAAAACGCGTGGAATTACGCTCGGCGACCCGTATTGATGGGTGTACTTAGCAGCTTTTATCTACTAATGGAATATATAAAAAAGAAATCCTCTTTTCTGACCATTATTCCAAGTCAGCCTTTCTGTCTCGAAGTTTACAAGTTTACGCGATCGCTGACTTCGCAGTCTGAAATTGCGTAATTAGGAGTTTGGACGTGCCTTTGGGAATTACGGTATTTTGTAACGCTTAACGACTTTCCATTGAATGTAACCCATGATACATAGCGATGAAATTGAGCAGATAAATTGATTCGAAACGCTACTCCAAATACATCGAGTCACGATCACAGATCTTGAGAATCGTTTCCATAACAACTTGCAATAAATATTTCTTCGTAGTTCCGAATACTAAAGTGCCGGTTGAAATTCATAGCAAAATTCTATCAATTTGTCAATTCACTTTTCCTACATTTAAATGATTTTGCTAAGGCTGAATGAACCGTTCCCAAGCTTTCTACCTTACATACCAAATAACCATTACGCTCCGGTAAGGCTCGCTCACGGAAAGTCACAGAAAAAGCGGAACCTTACCGGGTTCCCACGCGTCTTGTTAATTGAAAATGTGACCAGAAACGGCCGAACAACACCGTGGTGTTCTCCACGCGACAATCATCGGTTTGCTCAAAGATGAGAATGCCTGACTTTCCCTTTTTTTCTCTTCGCGAATTAATTAATGCCTCCCAACTCTCCCGCGACTCTCGTTCGTTACGCAAGTTACATTAGGCACGCAAATTTCCAGGTTCCATTCATGAATATTCTGTCCCTTTGCTGAATCCCTGACAAATAGAAGTAAGTTTATGTTCATCTCCAAGATAGCGTTGGGATAAAGTAATTACCAACTTTCAAAGAAGAAAATTTAATAAATTCTCTTTTCTTTGTGTTCATACTTTAAGAACTCTAAATATCAGAGTATTCCTGGCAGAATGGTAGCTTTGAAGGTACTTTCCGGTAGTAAACATCAAGGCAGCTTTGGTGCCTGTGTGAACGCAGTCCTACTCATATGTTGTGTCTGAGCTTTGCCAACCGATCTACGGCTTCTGTCGCGTTCCACCCACAAGACTCGCTTCAATGTTCAAACTGAGCGACTTTTTACAGTACCGAGTAGCATTGAAATGTCAATAATACTCCTTACTCCGACCATGAGTCCACGTTGAACCGCGTGAACTCAATTGTATTAACGATCGCTGTACGAATTAAGGTAAAATGCACACGTTTCAGTTCGAATTAGTGCTTGAAAATGCAATTTTAATTTACGGATGCCAGTGGACACTGGTAGCCAGCACGGCAATCAACATATGGTATCAGATTCGGTACACATTTTCATACGTACATGAAAATCGGAAGA